CATTCATATTATGCAGTATGCAGTATAATTACTGTTAATTATGAGTTAATTTATTTTTAATTAAATATATATAATTCTTAAGCCGTACTAAATAATATATACCAAGATTTTAAGGATAATTAAATCGTATTTAAAAATATGCATTTGTGTGTTAAATTTGTAATAATAATTATATTTTTATCATTGTCCTATAATTAATAGTTAATTTATTAAAAATGTTGTTGAAAAATTGTAAATAAAAACGTATAAAAATATAAAACTATACAAATAAAATTAGCTATAAAATATAGTTTTAAGTAAAATTTCAGTTAATTTAATAGTTAATTTTTTTTATTAAATAAAGGATATAATAAAATGTAGTTTTAAAAAATTATATTTTTAGTTTCTATTTTTAAAACATGAAAAATACTGAGTTTAAATTATTGTATAGACATTATTTGAAAAAAGTAGGCAGTAAATAAGAAGTATAATATGAGAACATCTGCGCATTAACACATTAATCTGGACTAAAGATACGTGTAATTTTTGTATATTAAATACTTAAAACATTTTTAGTTGACTGTTTAAGTAAATATTACCGTCTTTTTCTAAATTTGCCAGCAACATTCCCTCTGAAGCTACTTTGGTGGCTGCTATTTCTGTAAGTAGTGAACATGCAGCTGCTGTTTGTCTGGCCATTGGGTCTGATAAAGGTGATTCTAAAACAGGATCAATCGGTTCCAACGTGGTCATCATGTGAAACATAAGGCAAGTTTTTGGATCTTCTACTTCGACCATATTTAGAGCATTGGTTTTATTTGGATTCGGAGTCGTAGGGAGCTAGAATAGCATAGACGCCATAAGTAGCAACATGATTAAATAATTGTTGAATTACTCATAAGAAAAGCAGTACGTACGTTGACTCCGTCAGGTAGGAATCGGTCCAAATAAGCAATTGGTATGATAAAACAATCTTTATCTAAATTGGCAATACTCGCCGAATCGACTTTTCTGACATGAAGAGTACTATGACTGTTCGTTCCAGTAGAATTGTTTAATGTAGAATATGAACCATGGCGACCTCTGCAATTCTGAAAGTTGTAATTTATGGATGGACATTTTTTTTACGAACAAAATAATAACTACAAAAATGAATATATAGTATTTTTATTTTTACAAAATTATGCGAAAATAGAGTGAATGAAAATTATTATTATAATCAAAACGAGTCAGAAAAATACAGAGCACATATTTGCTTATTTAACCACCATTTTAGTATAAAAAGTAAAAAACATAACAAATATTTATTTTCTGGCGGTGGATCGCCATATTTCATTATGTAAATTATAACGTTGAAGTCATTTTGTTATGAAATCGAGTTTAGTATATATATTGTTTAAATCGTAATATACGCTTGGGGGAGCTTTCCGGTAGCATAAACTGATTCTTTTTCTTAATATTATTTAGTAGTATAATAAAGAGATAATAGCCAATCATTAATCGAATTTTTTACGTAATTTTAATAACAAATGTATTATAATCCATAGATGTTGTATCAAAATACGTATGTTATTAAAAGTGTATTATACTTTTACATTATAAATGTAGTCTATAAAATATTTTGAAAAAGGTGTTTGCTTTATTGTGATGTCGATGCGTAATATAACATTGCGTGACAAATATATTTAAAATTAGGTATTGAATTTATTTACTGCACGCCACTTATAATTAAAGGATAAATTGTGAAATAAAAAAATTGTCATGTCAAGTCCGAAGTCTTAATATTGGCTTATATAGTATATAGGTATCATATACGTATATGATACACGTTCGTATATTATGCCCACAATGGCCACGATTATCTTGTGTAATACATAAGTAAATATTATAACATTTTATAATAATATACATCACTAATGTCGCTAAAATGACTTAAAGAAGGCATCACTCACCCGTTTTTTAAGAGGTTTACTGTGAGCAATTTTTATGAAATCTGGAGAAAAGTTTAAATTTTTAATTTTAACTCTCTATAAGTATAGATATTAAAATGTTAGTTCAAAGTAATTTATACATTTATATATATTTCAAGTCAATTCTATTGTTGGTTGTTGATTACTTATGACTGTTTTGAGATTATATGAGAAATCAGTTTTGGGCAAAAAAAACCACTTTGGCTATAGTAATATTAAAGAGATCAAATTTATACATGATAAAGACATTTTTTTTTTGTATATTAAGGATATTAATAAAATAAAAATAGTGAAATATTTTAGTTTGTTGACCATGACTGCAGCTTTAGTGATTTTTTTCACGTGAAATAGTTTTTATGAGTTATTTATGGGTGTGCGGTGTGTTGGCGATTGGTGTTCTTTTAAATATACTTAACATATGTCAAACCTTGTCAACTGGATTGTTGTTGACTAAGCTGCAAGTCGCACTCGCACTAGTCCCAGTGCCATTTGCGAATTGTGGTGTGTTGGTGACAATCGTCTCGGCTTTCCCCGTAGACTGTTTTCTCCGGATCCACCGTATGAGCGGGACAGCTGAGGTGGGTTTTGGTTGCGCCAGTAAAGGTGGTCCGACGAAGTCCTCAAACTCCTGTGGGAAGTTTGCATGACCCAGGAGTATGTGGGTCCTAAACGGACAAGTATGATCCGAGTCGATCATCATTGAACACCTGTATTGTCACAACATCAGCTTGGACGCGGACGGACAGTTGTGAAACACATCATGTCCGATCAGCGGCGTCCCTAGACCCATTTGTAGCGGTGGAGGAGGAAAAAACTGAAGGTTTAAATTCAGTCTTTGTATATACGTAGTTTTAAATTACATATTATTAAACATAAATGTATAATCTATTTCTGTATTAATAACGTACAACATAGTAAATTTTATGTTCAGAATAATTTATTCAATTTTGTTATTTTTAGTACTATAATAAATTGATCTATGATCAAATTTAAAAATAATAATACTATTAAGTATCTGGTGCAAGCTATTTTTGACATTTTAATTTTAAAACAGAGGTATGGGCTTTTTAAAATGTTCATAACTTATTTTAAAATTAGAATAAAAAAATCGAAAAAGTCTATTTGAGATTTTAAAAAATCTTCTTACCTTATTATTTATGATGAGATAAAAAAAAATAGAGTTATATTATTTATAATTAAAATTAACTTTTATTATTTTAATTGTAAATATCATACAATGAAGATCAGAGTAGATACCTAACACGAATGTGAGCTAATATTTGCATTTTAAATATATACAAGTGTAAAAATACCGTAATAATTTCAAATGTATAGTGTCATTATCAAGAATAAAACGAGTAGTACGATTTTTATGTTTAAAATGTGTTATTGCATTTACATTAAAATATTAAAACATAAATACTTATAGTATACCTATTTAATATTTTTAACTAAATTAGTACAGACGCATAGGTGACATTAAGACTTAATTATTTGTGAAAAAATTACGATTTGATTAAAATCATTGTTTTGTTATTAAAGTAAACTTTTGTTATTATTTTTTATTAAAAATATAATAATTTAAGAATATTTATTGTTACGTAGATACTCAGTATTTTATCTATATTGATTAGCTCTTTTGTCCAAATAACAAATCGGAATTATATTAGGTATACTTTAAATAATTATAAATATGTATAAACTAATAGGTAATTATTTTATTTAGATAAAAATAATAACATAGTATAATATTTAATTAATTTAGTGAATTTAAATATTTAATTATTTAAAATATATAAGTTGACTTGAAATGATTAGTTTCTCAATGTGTATAAAAAAAATTTAAATAAATTGATTCTAAAAGCACTGAGCATGTAATAAAGTATTTTTATAACTGGTATTATTGCGCATATTTTATTAGAAGGTCAAATATTGAGGAATCATTGTTATTATTATTATTTTATTACTGCGTCAGATAATCTATTATACTTATTATACAACTTACTTCACGCCTAATTTGGTTCTAATCCTCTCACAGGGTTATAAAAACCGGTTTCAACACCCTAATGGACAGATGTGTTAATATATTATAATACCGAGGGGCGAATTGGTACGTGGGATGGCAACTAAATTATAATCCTTATCGATTACGGTCAACAGCTGCTAACCTGGATTCCCTGGTTCTCCGCACAGTTCCCAGTGCATTGGTGTTGCCACTAGTCGTCCTCCTGCCCAGACCACTGGAATAGCTTCTCTCCTTGGAGGAGCCTTCCGCCTGGAAATTCTTTCGGAAAAGTATGTTCATGCTGCGAGCGTGATAACTCGCTGGTAAACGATTTTATTTATTATATAATATTATTAATATTTCGGGATAAAAACTACGTGTAATAATGTCATGAATTCGTGTCGTGTGGAACAGCATCACGTTTTTGTGAATTCATTTTATTATTGGGTATTTACTACGCACGTCAGCAGACAACTGCGTGCGTTTGTAACTGATGTGTGTAGCTAAGTCTAGTGTAGTATCCGTCGTAGGATAGTTTCTATTTATAAATGTTGGCGCCCTTTGTGGGAAGAACCCTTGCCAATTTACCCATATAACAAATACACGGTAGCATAATTGACGATTTGCGTTCGATTCCGTGAACAGAAATATAATATATAATATTGTTGTATTAATGTTTTTACTGACGTAGTTCACGTTTGTACACATTTGTTGGAGAATATAAAAATAACCCGTAACATAAACGATAAATTCATTTTTTTTTTTATTTAGTATGGAATAAATAATTCTATTTCATAATTTAGTATTTCTCAGCCGACTTGATTGTTTTAAATATTTTCTGTTCTTTTTCTTTAGGTTAATATCAACACAGATTCGTACTAAGTATTAATGCTTTTTATTTCATTCATCTAAATATAAATACACAATCTTATGCGTGTAAAACTATTAGTTTTCTTTTTAAGTATATCAAATTTATACACAATAAAATAATTTAAAAAAAAAATAAATAAATAAACTAACAAACAAATAAATAAAACATCAACAAAAACAATATAACAGCTGAATACGTACAGCAAAAACAAATATTACAAGTGTCATTCTTAAATAATATTACATAAAGTCTTAAATAACTTGGGCAAAAATTATAAGCACGTTCAAGTATTGACAAGAGATCTGTATAAAAAAATATTTCAGTCATTACAGGTATATAGTAAAGGAGTGTCGTACCTACTCGAAATCTTAGTTCATTTCTACAAATTTAAACGAAAAATCAAGTGTGTTCTTCTCGACGGTTTCCCTATGTATAATATATTAAAAGTAATACATTTTTTATTTAATAAACTAATAGTATTTAACGTGAGGACTAGATAATTTGGTAGAAATATTAATATTAAAAATCAAAAAAGATAGGTTTTTATTATTGGTTATAAAGGTGTATATACATAAAATAATGTTCAAAAATGAAAATCAATTTCGATGTGTATATTTCACCCTACGTTGTATATTATAATGGAAGTTACTGGTTTGTAAAAAAAAAACAAACAAACAAAATAACGTCGTTCAGTTTTGAACATGGCACAATAAGGTACGCTGATTTATGTATCTTGTAACACATTTCTTCTTATTGTAATGTTTATCGTATTGTGTGATTATCACGAACGATTGATTTTGTTGAAAACATGAAAAAAATCATATGTCGAAAAAGTAAAAAAGAATATTAGTTTCGGAGAGATAGAGATACATATAGATTTACGTAATATAAGTAAGCCGTCTATACATAATATTAAACAGTATATATGTGTACCTATTGCCTATATATTCAGACTATAAATAACGACAGTATGCGTCTAGGAGTTATTGATTTTTTTTGTCAAATATATATACATAAATACAGAGTGTGATGGCCAAATAAAAACAATTTCGAGGATAACTGGGGAGTAAAAATGTATGTAAATACAAATACTTCCACGACTTAAAAAAAAAAAAAATGTTGGACGACATCTACCGGAAAGTTCGGCAACGGCTTTGGAAAACGGTCAAAACACGTTAAGTAAATAATAATGTTATTATTGTCGTTGTCGTCCTCCGATGGGATTTCTAGAATACATACGATCGTTTATACGTCAATACGTTAATACGTCGTTTAACTGCACGTTGTATATTATATTTAATCATACTCGTAGCACGAACACATTATCGTATTGATCCATGATATGATTGTCGGCCATCACGTGATCGCCGTCCGCCAGGGCGGTTCATGGCGATTCCAAGTCCGAAATCCGGCGTATCGACCTGTAAAGATTCAACGGTGGCATGTTTGGGTGCTCGATGCGCGTGGGCGATGACACGTGGGGTCTGATGGTCTGGTACTCGGGTATGGCACGGCGGATGGTGGTGATCTGCTGGTATTCGTGTTGCTGTTCGTACGGATAGTACGCGCCGTTCTCGAAGTTCGGGTTGGCTATGGTCTGCGGATGGTGGTGCACGGGTCGCCGGGTTGTGGCCGTCGTGTCGATGTTGCCCGTGGGCGACAACGTGGCCCAAAACGTCTTTGGCGATATGTCAATCGTGTCGTATAGCGGGGGACTCTTTTTTGGTTCCGGACTAAAGTCCGATTTGTTCCAACGTTTCTTACTGTGAAAAAAATGAGTAAAAGTATGTCGAATGTCGCGGAATATAATAACAAAATAAAATTGTTAACTTATGTTCTAAACTAAAGATTGAATTGTGTCGAACACGTGTATATTTAATGATAATAATAACAAAAAAAAAGTAGCTTAAAACAAGTATGTATAGATTTTCTTGAATACCACGTTATAGTGTATATTATAGGCCATTAAAGATGTCATTAATTAAAATTAAAAATTAAAAATTAACACAAATAAAGATATTACACAACAGTATAAAATCTAGCCATTCTCGTCCATCGAGTTCGGGTCTATTGCATATTGGAAATAATGTTTAGAAATGATTCGACAGGTAAATATAAATATTATATTAAATGATGCACTAGCATGTATCATATTATATAATATATCGTAAACAATGTAATAATACAGTTTATATTATAATATTGTATTAAAATGTCTTATTATAATTCTTTTTGTATAATATACGTGTATACGAATTATTAAAATAAATCCATTTCAACTTCATCAACACGTTTATAAATAATTCATATTTTGTACTTACTCTCTCAGTCTGACGATTACTACTAGTGCAACAGTTCCGACCAGCATCACCCCGAGTAAGCATGTGGACAGCAGCATCCACCAGGAGTACGTCTCGATAATAGGTCCTGGAAAGAGTTTTTATTATAACTAGTGTATCAATGACCGACGTTTCGTAAAAAATATTTAAAAACTCGTGTACTTTTTGTATAGTATAATATATTATGCTTAATTGAATCGATTAAATTGACAATTAACTCAGATTGGCCACCTTGACGAAAAAAAAAATAAAAAATATGTTATATTATGAACCAAAAATAACACACAGTATAAAATACACATGTATTCAAAATAATAAAAGAATAAACGACTACGTTTTAAAATGAAAATTTAATATGATAGAGGAATCAAGTTCGAAAATATTTAGAGTGACTGTTTTTTTACACACACACGCACACGTCATACCTTGCTGCGGTAACTCAACAAATCCCACCCCTTGATCCGTATCGCACATGGATTTGCACGGTTTGCCAGGTTCTAGTTCGTTGGTTTCCATCAACATCTCTTTGTTTGGCGAGTTTGATTCATTGCTGCCAGACTGATCACTCGGGACGGCAGCTAAAAATGATGGCATCGGTGGCGGTGGCATGTCCAGTATGGACGGCGGCGGACCTAGATCTCCGCATTCACGGCCGGTCATGTCCATACAAGCGACCATCGTGGCTATACACAGGCTTGACCCGATTAAGTAAATCTTCATGATGACGATGTGTTCTATTAATAATACGAATAAAATAATTCATTTAATTCCAGTAGTATTTAAAATAGTAATAATCTATCAATTTTTTTTTAGTTTAGTTCAAGTAAAAAATGATAAATTTTTTTACTGTAATTCATTTTTTGTACGATACCATAGGAATAAATGAATACTTTTAAAATCTAGTCACTATTTTTTTTGCTATACTATTTTAACCGTAAAACCGCTCAACTTTTATTATTTATTTTAGGTCAAAATCATATTTATATTCATCCAGTAAAAAGTATTCTAACTCTTAACTCTTAAAATAAAATAAAATATATTTTTATATTTTATTTAGCCAGCTATCACTATTCTCCTTTAGGTTTATTTTAAAATTTTGAAAATGCATGAAATAATTTTTAATAAGTCTGAAATAAAACGTTGAAAATATATTTTAGTTTTGCCTAAAGTTATACTATATTACAAAAATAGTAAATTCCATTATATCAAACAATTGCTTAAGGCATTTTTGAAGTAATAGTATAGATGTGAAATTCTATTTATCAACTCGCCGTGACAGTATACATCATTTTGAAATTGTTTTTCCCCTCTGAGCACATTTCTTAAAACGGAAATTATACATATATGTCTAATAATATTGTGTACTATCTACTATCTACCCTGTGAAATGACTATTGAAAAATGAGGTTGCGAGGGTGAAACAATCAATCGGCTTACAGTAGGGGAGATGATTGACAGTTTTTGATTACCATTGTTCATTGATGACGTCATTTTTAAAAGAACTGATGAAAAAAATAATAAACATTTAATGCCAAGAAGTTTTTGTGGTTAAAGTATATCATGTACAATTTTGTTTTATTTAATTGAAAAAAATAGTTATAATAGTTTAATATTTATTTATTATATATAGATATTAACAATTCAAATTGTGTTTTTCATAAATCATAAGATCTAAAATCATAAAATATGTTGATTTAATTTTATAAAAGATGCTTTAATTAGTATAATTTATGCATATATTTGTGTCAATATATTACTAAGTATAAATGTATTATGAATTATGATAAATAAATATAACAGCCACTAAAAGGTATAAAATTTGAAAAAAACTTTAATATAACCATTTTATTTAGATAGGTAACATAAATAAATTTGTGTGTCTATTAATCCATATTATTTAATTTGATTAAAATATTAATATTCAAATCGTGAAAAAAAACCATACAAAATAAATATTAACACTATAATTATAAAAAAATATTACTAAAAGGGTAGACTATTATATCTTTAAGGCAAATTACCAAATAAAAATAGATTAATAGAATTCTAATATTTATTAGTTAATATTTGAGATATATTTATATAGAATTACGTATCAAAATTAAAACCGTAAATCTTAAAATAATAATGCTAAAATAAAATAATATTAAATATTATAGAATAAAAATCGACTTGTTTATAAATATATTATATCATACTATGTAACTATGAGTTAACTTACTAATCATTTAATATTGGTACATATTATAATATCAATAATAATAATAATAATAATAATAATAAATAATATTATTATAATCAGAGGTAAAATGTTAGGAATGAATAAATAGGTGGATTGGACAAAAAACATGCGATTATAAATTATAATCCGTATAATCGTATAAATATTATATTATTTATATCTATAGTTTTAAAAAGTAATAAATTATGTCCAGAAACATAAATAAAGTATTTTTGGTTGTATTAGAAACCAAAATGATTGCATCTTTTAGTAAATTAAGTGAGACATAAATATTTGAAATAGTATTTAAGGGCTTGAGCCCACATAGCCCCATTGTATCCACCTTTGATTATTATAATGATATATTTTACAAAAATGTATTTATCGTCTGTGAAAATAATATTAAAAAAATAAAATGTATAAATATTAATTTATCACAAAACAAGTTAGATATCCGTTTGTGGCGCCAGTTATATTATATAGATATTTTTAAAAAGTATGATTTACATATTTTTTTTCGTTTTCAATCAATATTTATGAAAACAATTTCATTTTTGTAAAATATATAAAAATAGGCTAATTTTTATAAATATTAGTACGAATATTTAGTAATAAACAATAATAAAAACGTAAAAATATGTTCTACAAAATGTTTATAGCTACCTACAGTTTTAAACATTACTAAAATATTTACTGTAAGATGAATTATCGATTAAATTATATTATGAAAGTCTTACACATTGATTTATTATTATATAAAAATAAAATAAAACAAATTACAATAATATGAAATTACAAAAATATTAGATAGATATAACTTTTGTAAGAAAATAACTTTTATTTTACATACAAATAGGCACCTAACACCTAACTTTAAATACAAGTAAATATACTTAACTACTTGAATAAATATTTGATAAGTAAAAATATATGAAACGGAAAGAATGGTTATTAGTTTTTACTTTTTAGTTTAAAATTAATACCTTGTGTTTTTTATAAATATATTAAACAAATTTATACTTAAGGCAATACATCAATAATTCATAACAGGATTATTATATTAATTGTTCTGAATGGTTTTAAATTGTTTATTATTAAAAGTTTGTATAAATTATATTAATTTGATACTTCATTTATATTGAAAATAATTTAAATTAAATATAAATATCAATAGTAAGGTATTTTGAAAGTGTTACTGTTTATATCCTTTACTGTTTACTGTTTTATATCTAAGATTGATAACGATTCATGCAATAATATAATAGTACTACCGATTTATTTGTTGTAAAGCGATGAAGATATATCTGACTTAAAAATAATGTTAAGGATCATTAAGTGTATGATTTCGTATTAAAATATAATAACAATAATAATAATAATAACTTACATGTTATGTGACGTCTTTGTGGCTCGGCGACGGTCTGAGTAGATGGAAAGGCAACTACGGGGCAGATGCGCAAAATCAGCTTTCCCGACCCTTTTATCGATCTCCCTGCTCCGTTGTCGCCCCATATCCGGTCACCCTGGTAACCGGGTAAAAATACAAGGGAACTCGTTTCAGGGTGGTAGGGAGAGGGCATCTTTTCTAATGACTCTGTTGGGGTTTAAAAAAGACTTTGGTAACTTTCTGTTCTGTCACTATATCTACTGGTTTGCAGTAGTCATTTACCCACCTATATACTTTAAACCTTCTGAAGGTCAGAAAGTAGAAGAGATGAACGTAAAAAATATTAATACTTGAGACTTAAACTCGAGGTAATTTATTATTTGGAGTTGTTAGACATTAACAATTAAACCTAAACCTAAATGATTTTATGTATCTGTATACAATTGGCAAAGTCAAGAAAATTTATAAACGAATGTCATTGAGGATGATAAATATAGTATTTTAGTATTATAGATTATATGTAAGATATTTTTTTCGTGTGTTCAACATTAAAAAACTTAAATAGTGTACAATAAATAAATACAAATTATAATAATTATATTATATATAAGTACGTTGCATGGTCCACGTGTTTTAAACATAGTTTTATCGTGTATCTACATTGTAAATAAAAATATTTTTAGGTTTTTGAATGACATAAAATAAAAATATAATATAAAATAATGTAAATAAACAATTAAAATGATAGTCATTAAAACAAATAACATACCTAATGACTAGTAAATTTCAAAAATAGGTAACATTTATAAAATGTACTATATACGAAAGTAATTGATTTAACTCTTAACTATCAACTTGATAATGTAGATCATTATTTAGATTTTTATAATATAATTATCGATTTCACTAGGTATAACATTATGTTGTATTGAGTTGAATTTTTATTAGATCGTAAAAAATAGTAAAAGATAAAATAATAATAATAAAGATTTAAAAATGAAAAAATAACTTATAGTTTAAAAATTACATAAGATATACTCAAGCGGAGTTATGAGCCAATAAGATTTATAACACTTGAACATTAAAAGTACCTCATTTTATGATTTGGTCATAATGAGTAATGACCAATTAAATTAATTATTATAGAAAACAAATTGTTTGCTGACAAAGTAATTAATAGTAAAATGTCATTAAATGTTATTTTTTTTCTCATTTTATTTGGATTCTACATTTAATATATTTGATATGTATACGTAGGTATATATACCTATATATAAAATAATATTATTATAAATTAAAATATTTGTATTATTGTCATTTATATTTATTTTGAGTTGTACAATAAATAATAATGAATCTGAATTAAACAATTAATGTAATATTGATATAAGATACAAGTCCAACAATGACAAATGTTATTATAATATTTAATGATTAAGAATGTCATTAATAGCTTGTCGGTCAATATGATTTATTGTGTCAGTTAAGGGTGGTAAGTAATTAAATTTTAATTTATTAATGATAATAAACTAATTATGCTATTATTGTATGTTTACCTATATTATTATTTAAGCGTCCTTCATAAGCAAAGGTTTTTAATTATGAATTAATGATTTGTTAATAAATTGTATACAATATTATCAATAAAGATTAAAAATAAAAATTATTCATATCATAATATAATATATAAATATTTAATAAATTTTGTACTAAAAAAATTTGATAAACCTTGATAATATAGCTTAAATAACTGCTACGGCACCTTATCTAACTTTTAATACATATTAAGAGTTATATTATTTTAAAGTTTAAATTAAAGATATACTTTTATGAATTAGATATAAAATTAGATTTAAATAGACTGCAGAAGTTAAATTGTAAAATGATTATATGGTATAATTTATTTCATAATTTATACTATCATATTCGAGTTTTAACACTAACTTAGTTTTATAATTAATACTTAACAATAAACAGTAAGAAAATTATCTTTAACAACAATTAAAATCTTAAAATAGTTTGTATATTTAAATTAATAATATTTTTGAATATTTAAAAAATTCTGAAATGAAATTATAATTATGTGACTTTTACAGAACCTTATAGTTTATAATTACTATTTCTTATAACAATTAAACATCTTAAATTATTTATGATTAATAAAAATTTTATTATGCTCATTCGTATATTTACCACTCATATGTCTTATTATTTGATATTATTATTGTTATTTGAAAGGGTTAAGTTAAAGTTATAGTTCAAGAGTCATAAAAATATTAACAACACTGATCAGGCACATAGCCAAGATTTATTTATTTTTGTTTTTATGTAATTCCTTTTTTTTTTTTTTGGGGGGGGGGGGGGGTAAATAAGTTTAATAAAATTGAATACAATTAATTTTTTTTTTTTATGTGATTGATATACATAACTTTTAATTTTAATTTTTTTAAATTTCGGAGAGTGGGTTCAGACCTCATGAACCCCTCTAGATACGTCCCTGACATAGTTGTATTACATTACTATGTCTTAAATACATCAATTATCATATTAAATAATAAACTTGTCTTATATGAATATTATGAACTTATATATTAGTATGGATACATAGAAATTGGATCCTACTTAGAAAATGTAATTTAAATCCACAGTGTATGCTATCTGAATAATATCTATATGTCATGTTGCTTGTCTTATTGATTATAAATAAGTAGATGTAATGACGAGGTCAAAATTAATTCAATTTAAAATTCAGTTATTCCATAGTAGATAGTTGACATTGTGCTTTTACAATACTCAAACTTCTCTATCTACATTTTCATATATTATTGAAATAATATAAACGAAAATTATAGTTAGTAAAATATTTTTTATTTTTATTTAGTTTTCATATACAAATTTAGGTATATAAAAAGTGTTTTACAATATCTATCTTAAATAAATTAAAGCTACCTTGCTGAAATCTAAAAACAAATTACCATTATTTATCATATTGGAATAATTACTAATTGTTTGTTAAAAGTTTAAAGTAATTTAGTTCTTATCGTTTAACTAAAATATACATTTATAATAACTTAAAATGAGGATAACTATCTTTTTTTTTTTAGCGCTCAAGTATAATTATTGTAAATAGTTATTGAGTTAAATTTTTTAAAAAAAAAAAAAAAAAAAAAAAAATAAAGTAAAAGCTCATCACAAATTATGCTAGAAAATATTTCTAATGATATAATATTAAAGTAATTATTTTGAGTTGCTTATGATTTTTATAAATATAAAAATAAATTATATTATCTTTATTATTGTATTAAAATGAGGTTGATTTTGATAAATCATTTTTTAATTGCAAATATATCAATGTTATGAATTTTGTGTTAATATTTTTGGGCAGCTTATCTTCGTCTTGGTTTTCATTATTATTTACTGTTCAAATACATTTGTATCTCCATTAGTCTATACGACGGTGGGACTTGAATCAAGTACAGCTGCTGTTGTTGATTGATCAACTGTTTGTTCAGCGTTTTGTGTAGCTTGATTCGCCGAAGGGAAATAGTTCTCTAAACACTAAACCCGACATTATCTATTCTAGTTTTCCATTCTACTACACAGATAGGTTTAGATAGATATGTAAAAGCCATTAATGCCTCTTGAAAAAATTATCTTGACGTTTGTGCAAACATAATAACAACTCATATTTATTCTGCGCTCATACCTTAGCCGAGAAGAATTGCCTTTGTTTTAAAATAATTAATTATATAAATATTAAACAAACGTCAGTGAAAATAAAATTAAAATAAGACCGAAAATATATTTGCATAATAAATAGTGTTATTAATTTATTTTTATCATAACAAATCATTTCTTTCCTTCATTCTATAATGACATAAAATAAAGAAAAAAGATGTATTTTGTTAACAATTTAAAATATGTTATGTTATAACGGTACTTCAGTAATGGAATACCTATTTAAAGATTTTAGTATTTAATACTTTTTTTAGTGAATAAATAATTCAATTCAAACACATTTTGTTCATGAATGTAGTTCATACTTTTGAAGACAAGTAATTTAATTTTACATTTTTTTCATATATTCAAATTATAAATTAAAAAAAAAATAAAAAAAACTATTAAATATTTAAAATATTTTCATTTTACTTAATACTTATTTCCTTTGAAGTCTTTAGTATGTTTCATTATGTGTTGACAAAGTTTATTACAATAAAGTTTCCATATTAAAGTTGTTTTTAACTCGTACAATGCTAAATATTACATATAATAAATATTAAATATTTAAATAGGTATGTTACAGTACATGGTATTATACATTAAAATAATGTTCTTTTTTAGTAAATAACAATAGTTGCCTAACTAACCAGTTATTATTATGATGAATTTTTTTTAGGATTTGATAATTGTTAATTTCTACACACGTAGGAAAATATTGTTATTTTAATGGTATTATAGTATCATGATAAAAGGGTTCTATTACTGGATAGATTCCAATATCTTAAAGTCAAATTGATATAATTTTTCATCATATTTACTTATTGTATTTATTTTTAATACATATTGTAGATTTATTTATTTTCAATATACAAAAAAAAAAGTATTATGATATATTTAAATCTATGAACACATTGTCAAAAAAAGTTATTCAATCCTAGAAGAGGCTTAACTAATTATTTTCAATATGAATTTTTCATTTCTCCTTTAACTCAAAATCTTAAATAGATTTAAATTATATTCAATCACAAAATATTGATGAACTCAAATTCATTTTAAATTACTAAGACTATTTTACAAAATTTGTCTCACATAGAGTTTTAACGAGTAAACGTGCCAAAAAAGTTGCACACAATTTGTTGGATGTCTATACGATTTTCGGGACATCCATCATTCTTTATTTTGACAATGGCCGAGAATTTGTTAATTTAATAATTAGTGAGTTGTATTCTAAGTGTCAGTCGTAAAATTGTATACCTCAAACCTCAACATAAGCAAAGTTAAAGATCTGAAGAAATAGCTAACTGAGACGTCGAAGATATGATAGCAACAGGGATGGAACAAAATAAATGTAAAAATGTGTATCATTCAAAAGAACTATATATT